GGCGATGTGGTTAATTACTGGTTATTCTCCGTTAACCTTCCGTAGAATTTAGATTCAGTATTTTTCCTGCTTAGTATGGGCGCGCAAGACAGTACTCCGTCGGGTGAGTATTGCGGATCGGTAATGTGAAAAAAACTCCAAAGCGGGTGTTTCCTTTAAAAAGAACAAACAAACAAAAAAAAACCCATGCGGATTTTAGTTTACGGCTCAGCTGGGAGAGAGGTGTCGGGCTCCTCGCCAACATCGCCTCTGCTCATCGTGGAAGGACTAGTAAGTGTACAAACACACAGAAACACGTTTAGAGGCCGCTTTTTAACAATTTCCCGCTTCTTTTACACTCATGCCCAACAATGACGGATGCTTGTTTAAAGGCTCATCGAGCATGCAGTGCATGATGGGTAATGGAGGTTCAGGAGGCTGGATGCTTGGGTTTGCTGACAATGTACTAGTGAGAATATTGTCTCACACAGACAAGGGCAGACACACATAACACACCACAGATACTGGGAATGGTTAGATAACAACATGTGGGACAGTGATGAGCAGACATGGAAGAGGCTAGGCTGGAGCATGAGGACTAACAAGAATGAATCTGACTGTACAGGTTCAGGAGGTTTTTTAGTTTACACACACACACACACACACACACACACACACACACACACACGGACACACACACACACACACCACAGGAGTGAGATCAGTCACAGCGCCCTCTGCTGGACTACAGGTCTTACTGCGTCACTGTTGTGGGCTTTGGGCTCATCTGATGCACCTTGTACTCCATTAAAAACACATCAATATTTAAAGTAATTTATTTTGACTCGGAGTCGGCACGTGCACCATCCTGCTGCCCCAAGGGATTACTCTCCTAACGTGTGGACGTTAATCCACCGCGGCTTAAAATAGTCCCAAACAAATGCACTGTTTCCTCTTTGATTAAAAACTGCAACTGATTTAGGAAATTACTGAACCTTTTTTAACCATGTAACTATATATTTGTGAGGTGTTTTTATATCTTCAGTAGGAACCAATGAGCTTGGTATGTAAAGGTCTTTTCTGTCAATGTTATGTAAAAGAAAGATTCTGTAAGTAATTATGAGAAACTTCCTCAAAATAATGACTTATCTCAAAATTAAAGAAAGTTTCTTAGTATTTTGACTTTGTGATACTAAGTCAATATTTTGAGAACATTTCACATTAAAATAATTTGCAGAAATCCTATTTTTTCTCGTCACATTGGCTGAAATGAGCCTCCATAGCTCGAAGCTGAGAGCAACAGACAGGAAGACGGACAGACATTTTATGGGATTTGTTTAAACAAAGTTGTAGAATATCTTCAACCTTAACTTTAAACTATCTGCGGATAAGAATACCGCCACAGAGCCGCAAGTAACAAATCATTGCTTCTTTTATTTGCTTAACTGATTAGCTGTTAAGTCCATAAAACGTAGGAATAAAGTAAAAGGCAGAAATTGGCGTCTTCAAACGTCTCTTTTTGTCCGACAAACACAGTTATTCAGGTTACAGTCGTATAAAGCAGCAGATCCTGAAGCTGGAAACAGTGAATGTGAATGTGAATTAGACTAATTGACTAAAGATCATCATGATTTTAGTTTGAGACCAACTGCAGTGAGCAGTAATGCTGCATAAAGTTTGACATTTTAAAATACTAGTGCTGATACCTGAGTTTTGATACCAAACTTACAACTAACACTATTTTTTATTATTAAAGACAATTAGTTAGAGCTGATGGATGGATGAGTCTGATTATTATTTTCTTGTCTTATCTGAACTTTTAAACTAAGAAATCAAAAGTTCTCAATGTTAAATATTGTTTAAACACAAGCAGCTTTAACAAGAACATTTTAGACAGTAAAAACTATTTAAATCATAAAATAAAACAACTATATTATGAATCTGAGCAGATATTTGACAGGTTGACAGATAATGGAAACCAGAACCAGATTAATGAAGCTGATTCTGAGATACTGTTGGAGCCAGCTTGGCTTTTGTTTTAATGAATGCAGCGCCACCTGCAGGTGAAAGGTTGGTAAAAGGAATATAGGAGGCAAATGGCTTGTGTCTCTTACAGATACTGTTTAGCTAAAATAAACTCTCACCGTCTTTACTGACACGCAAACTTCAGCACTGTATACGCTCAAACATGTTGGATTACAACCAGAGCTGCAACTAACAGTTATTATAATCGTCTGAAGATAATTTTTTTTCTATTTTGGTGTATAAAATGATAGAAAATGGGGAAGAATTGCCACATATGACGTGTTCAGATGTCTTGTTTTGTCTGAAAAACGTTCCAAAAGCCAAATATATTCAGTTTATTATCATATGAGATAAAGAATAGCAGCAAATCTCATAACTGCAAAGCTAAAACGATTCATTGATTATCAAAATAGTTATTTTTCTGACAATTGAATAATCATTTCAGCTCTTTTTTTACAACCACTCTTACGTTCATCTTGAGCCTTTAATCCTTTTTACTTTGGTTACGACCTGCGTCACTTTCTAACTTAACTCTTTCATATTTTGGCGTTGGCGTTACGTGATGGCGTAAAAAATGTGGACGTACCTTTTACGGCTTGTAAAAAATAGCTTAACTCTGTCAACAGTGCACAAATTTAATGTGCAAACCTGCTTTTAACCAGCTTGTGTGTGTTTTTTTTATCTTTAGTGTCTCAAACGGACGGATGCTTCAGTACAGACAGACAGACAGACAGACACGTAGCTTTGGCACCCAGACAGCAAAAGTGAGGAATGACAATGCAGAGTTTAGTACGAAAGGCTAAACCTGGAAGAAAGGCACCGCCAAATTATAATAAAATGTATTTATATATATAATATAATATATATATATATATATACATACATACATACACATATAGTCCAAAGTGTAATAAAAAACATCAAATAATAATTTCAAAAGCACATAAAAGAATAGGATGAGGATGAGAATCAGAACATAAAAGACAAATAAAATCACTCTCAGCCCGTCCAGTCTTGTCATAGCTACGTTCAGCCATAGATGATTATCCAATAAAAAACAAACAAAGAACTAAAAATCTCTACTTGTTTTTGAAGCAGGTCTTGTAACAGCAGGACCGCCTACCCATGAAGACTCCTCTTCTGTGAGCTCTCTGGCTTCCTACTATGCCACCTGTGGAAACCCCAAATGAAGAGTAGCTGGGTGAGTGAAGGGAAGGCGGGACGTCACGTCCGAGGTGAGTCCAAAAACACACACACACACACACACACACCACACACACACACCCACACACAACACACCCACAGACACAACACACACACACACACACACAACACACACACACACAGAGTGATGGAGGAAATACAAAGAGAGGAGACGGCGCCGACCGCTGACGTGGAAGACGGCGCAAGAGAGACGAAGAAGGTTCTTTAGATCAAGAAGAAGTCGCTGTTGGTGCATAGAGAAACCAGAGGAAGAAAATCTCATTCAAAACCTCATTGACATTTTTTAACAATTCTTAACTAAACAGACTCTTTAATCAGCAGCATGTTCAGAATTAATTATTCCTAATATTACTCGTGGTATCAGGCAGACAGATTTCAGCATTTCTAAATCGGCAGTCTGTTGAAGAAAATAACGATATCGATCCGATAATCGGTGAGCAGGCTTTGGTAACTAAAGGTTCCACAACTTTAGTTACTTTTAGATTACAGTTCCTCCTACATGCTACCAAAACCTGCTCAGCACTGCGAGACTCAGACTCATTAAAAAAATATATTTAACTGGGACATTTCTTCCTTGCATATGCATATGTCGTATTAGCTGTCTGAGCAGCCAGTTTGTCTCCTCGTTGTTCTGACACATTCACAATCATTACCGCTGTTTCTGTTGGCGTTTAACAGGCCGCTGATAAAATATATATATTTTAATCATTAAATTAAAATCATAAACGACTGGTCGACTATTGACTTAATCTAACAACTACTACCAGTCGACTAGGGAAATCTTCAGTTGGGGGCCGTTCTTGTAGCAAACTTTATGTGCCAAGTTTGGGAGAGAAGGCAGAATATTTAGTTTAAGCTGTATAATAATCTATAATCTGTAACTTTGTAATGAAATTAAATGTTTGATGACTGCAGCTGTATTTTTGGTGTCTTGTAAACCCCATGAGGGTTTGGCACTTTGTGTGCATGACGCGAAAATAAAATAATTAGTTCAAATACTACTTTATCCACTACAACTGGAAACCAGAACGCTTCCGATAACAAAATACTCTGTTTTTAATATCATCTAATAGTTCATTTTTCACTGATTGTGCTTCTTTCAGAGTCTCTTGTCACTTTTGCGCCTTCTTCCCGCCGTCTCGTATTTAAAAAGATGTTAAAAAGCGAAGAGCTGAATCAGATCTGACATGCGGTCTCTGAGATCTGAGAGAGTTGACGTAGCCAACAGAAGAGATTTCAGGGAAAAGCAGAGAGGAGGGATGCCACAGGATGAAGAAACAAAGCCTCACACACACACTTACACTAACACATCCTGATTCAAGAAATCTGTCTCACGAACATAAACTGCACCCACAGGGACCGCTGATCTCACAGGGTAAAGGGTAGAAACAGTCAGTCAGTGTGTGTGAGAGACTGTGTGCGGCCTGCTGTCATGCCACAGGCAGCCTGCATCTCATTGACCTCATGCACAAAAAAGTACTAACAGTAGTTCTCAATGGTATCAAAGAATGAAAAGTTTACAGGGAACTCTGGACGGGCCAGAGGAGAGAGGAGACGTGGAGGCACGCGAGGAGGGAAAAGAAAGAGAAAGAGAAAATTATTTTAGTTCAGCTGAAGGCAAAAACAGGAAAGCACAGTCTAGAAACACTACAAAGTAAAGTTAAAAAAGAGTTTTAGTGCAAATAATCAGTAGTAATAAATGTTAGCGTTGAGGTCGGCGGGGGGAGTAGACCGTGGAGGTCAGACAGCGCTGGGAGCAAAGCTACCTTGTGTGGTGTTTCTGTCGTTCAGCAGCTTGGTCTGGCTGTTGGGCAGGATCTTGATCTCAGGAGGATCTGGACTCTGGCCGACCCGCGACGCCATCAGAGCGTTCAGATACTGCAGACGTGTCACCTGCGATTCAAACGTTGTGGTGGTGGTTTAATCTACAGCAACGTGTCAGATTCTATAAGATCATCATATGTTTGTCCTGTGAGAACCACGTAAATAAGACGGTTTTCAGCTTTGTGACGATGCATCTTCCAGCTCATCCAAGAGGGTTTTTAAACAGATTATTTAGCTTAAGAAGTTGGAGAAAAAGCTACAAATTTTTCATTTATTTTGTTTGTCTGTTCTGGGCTACTGAAACATGGCAGACTCCGCCACCACAAGAGGACCCGCTCCCTCTGGAGTTAAATAAATCTCATTCTAAGGTAACAAAAACACAATCATTCTTATATTCAGGTGATTATACACTAATGAAAAAAATTATATTTCTGACAATAGATCATCCTCAATGTGACACACTGGACCTTTAAGTATTTGAGTGAATATACTTAGTTACATTCCACCACTTCTGATATAACCGATCCTCACAGACGTTTCAGAATGATGAACGAATTTAATCTGACACAACCTGAGACAGCCCTAAAATCACACAGTGTATAACTCACACTCACATACTGTATGCACACACACACACACACATACCCGTATGAGCTGCAGGTCAGTGAGAGCTCGGACGGTGTAGTCAGGACAATAGCTGGACGGGCTCGTAGCTTCTGCTGACTCAAAGGGATCCCTGGGGGAGTGACGCTGGGTCGACACTGGAGACTGGTGCACTGCAAACACACACACACACACACACACACACACTCTGAGTCAGCACAATATCTGCAGCCGTGGTCTTTTTATAGCCACGTGCCGACTCATATCTACCTCAGTTATGTAAACATGGTGGAAAACTGCATCAGAATTCAGTAGAAATCTTTCTTTTGTTTGGTTCATGTTGTAACTGCACGATGATGAAAGTTCACTCAACATTTATTATTTAATATTATACAAAACATTAACGCTGCGTTACATTTACAGCAGTCGCTCCAAACCTTTTTCTATCACCGACTCAACTGCAGACCTCTGAATAAGTGACACTGCAGTTCACTTCCTGTTAATATTGCTTTAGAGATCCACTTTCTTTATATTTTTAGGATCTTTTTATACAATTATCTGTCTGTTTTATGTATTTATTTATTTTTTAACAATCATACAGACTTAATAGGCTTCTTTTTTTTTGCCAAAATCAGTGTTTTCTTCTCCCTGACTCTTGTTCTATTAGCTCTCTGATATACTTTCTAAATGCAGGACGATGAGATATCAGTCTTCTGTGTGTATTTACAATGTTTTCCTATATGTGACCCCCCTGTGAAGCTTTGGCGACCCCTAGTGGGGTTCCCGACCCCCAGGTTGGGAACCACAGAGTTACATCTCATAATCAGTAACATTGCTGAAGCAGTCGTGTTCCTGCTGTTCTTGATCTCACCTGAAGATGGCAGCGTCAGAGCGGAGACGCCGTAGTACGTAAACGCCCCGTTCTCAAACTTCAGCCCCTCTTTGCCGATCTCCACCTCCACACGGCCCTAAAGGACGAACAGTGTCGTTCTTTACTTCAAATAGTTTCTGTTCAATAAAGACGATATAAAACTGCTATAGATTCTTCATTAAAACTTCATTCATCCACAATATTTATCCTCATTCTGCAGTTCTTGTTGTTATTGACCTTTTATATAAAAGCAGATTTTATTTTAATCTCTTTTTGTTTGTTCTTTATATTTAAATCTTTAATATTCACATTAAAATGTCTAGAAACACTAGACCTGTTGTTGAGTTGTGTACAGCTGAATTAAATTAACAAAATGAGCATATTTCTGAAACTGTTGCTGTAAACTGGAAGTTGATCCTTGTAGTTTCTGATCTTCTGTGGTTGAAACCAGTGAAACATGCCTGGAGTTTATAAAGTTCTGCAGAAAAAGTCTTGTTTCTGGGAAATGATTCTTTTGTTTTATATAAAAAGAGAAGTAATCTAATCAAGCACATTTTGTATTAGAGTAGTAACCTGGTTGAGGTAGCTTTAACCAGTAACAATGGTTGCATAATATTCCAGCAGAGGAAGATTATTGTACTTATTTTCAGAATAAGAGCACTCGCACAACTTACACAAAAAAGAGAAAGTCATCTTGGTCCAGTGTTGGAAATTAAGTTTTTAGTTTTTCTTGTTTTATAAAAAATACTGAACAGAAGAATGTTTTCTGATAGCGAACAAATCCTGATTTTTATTCAGCGGTTTTTTAGAAATTGTGACTTATTGTAAGACTGTTTTACTTAATTATTCATGAGTAAAACTTAAGAGGTACAAATCTTCTTAAATTCAGCTCAATAAAGTGACCAAAATACTTATTTTGAGTTTTCATTGCTTGTAATAAACACAGATTGCTGAGATTTTTGGCATTTATTTGTAGTTTTAAGGCTCATTACAATATTTCAGTAGATTATTATACTAGTTTTACTCAATTTACACCATTCAAAACCAGTAAAATGTGATTAAATTTAAGATTATAAAAGGGCTGTTTATGCAGTGGAACAGTTCCTCTACATTTATTTATTTCGGAGATGAATAAAAAGAACTATATCTAACTCAAAGTTTCTGTAAGTGTCATCAGATTTATTTTAGTACTTTTTTAAATGTAATTTAAGACGTATTTTACGTC